TAACAAAGTACCCAAACATGCTTATAATTTTGTGGATCAGAAGATTGTGAAGGATTTGGCTGGCTCTTCCTATAACTTTTGTTTCTTTTTCTTACTGCACTGCTTAGACCATCCAATATAGTTTTTTACAAAACTGTATATGACAGATTAAAGATGACTATGAATTATTGTACACTGTCTTGGTTTGTCTCTGATCCATGTAGTGTCAGTGGGGATGGATGGATGGATCCACTTCTTTCTCATATGTCTAGTGCCTTGGTTTTCCTTGACCTTTCTAACCACATGGTATATTATCCTTTTGACCCTTAGCCACATGTCTTTATTCTCTTACAACATCTTAGAATTGTCTGTCTTCTTACATAAGAACTAGATTCCAAGACACCAGCATGGAAGCTTCCAGTGCATTTTAAATATCAGGCCCAGAACTAATCTAGTATCACTTCTGTCATACTCCAATGATTCAGAGAGCCAATGGCCAGCCCAAATTTAGAATGATACCAAATAGACACACTTTTCCACAAGAGGAGTATAAAAGAATTCATACTAGTCCTTAATCTGCCATATTGTATGTATTTAGCAGAGTAGAAGGATAGTACAAAGCAACATATAAAAAACAATAGGTTTTCAATTCACCAATAATGAGTTTGCTGAAAGAGATCAGCCAACCAAAAATACCTAAGCAGTTCAGTGAGGTAGGTAATAGCAAGTACTGAATTGTCCACTCTCATCATTCCTATTGATTATAGAACTAGCAGTCTTCTGGTGGAGTTTTTGGCTCTTTTAACTGGGAATAAGAAGAAGACAAAGAATACTGTGAGTGTCCATTTATAAGTAGGAAATAAACTTTCTAAAGGTAACAGACCTGGCTTCAGAGTTTGCTCTTGAGAGAGCCTAGGAGAGACTGCAAAAAAGAGGAGAGGTCATTATGGGGTCTAGTAGTGGTAGGACAAGATAAAATCACTTCTAAAAAGAAAAATTCCTCATCTGACTGATTAAATACTCTGAGACCTATATTGATTTCTGGAGAACTGTAAGGAAAGGGAGTGAAAATGTATGGGACTAGAGATGCTGAGTGAAAGAAATGGAGGAAATTAAGTCTCCTATAAAACAGAAATGGATTACTAAATCACGTGACACACAAACCTCTTCCACTCCCATTTATTAAATAAATTGTAGCAGTCAGTAGAGAGTACTTCTGGATTAAGAAACCTAGTAAGCTTCCCAAACCTCTTACCTTTGCCTACATAAAATCACCTTTCATTGTTGAAACAAGAAAACAGAAGGGATTTGTAAATGAACAGAAAACAGTATATAAACGGTATTGTATTACTGTATTACTCTTGACTTTTTACTTCCTCTTTTCTTAAAAAACCTCACTGACTTTGGGCAGAGCCATATGACTCAACTTGACCAGTAAGTAGCATGTGAGTGGACATGACAAATGCTTTAAATGTGATGGTATGTTTCACTCAGTCCCTCATGCCAAACTTTGGGTCTCTAGACCTATGAGAGAATAAACTTGTTTTTCAGCCACAAAGTTTGTGATACTTTGTTATAACTGCCTTAGAAAATTAATGCAAGTATATAGGAAATATTAGAGTTGAATTAAAAGTGTCAATAAGAGTTGTAGAATTTATAAAAAGTTGTTCTAGCACTGTCTCCTGAGAGAACCTACAAAAATAACACCATAGTAGCAATGAACATGCTATGCTCAGATCTTGGTCTCTTATCATTTCCCAGTAAAAAGGAATCTGGGCTCCCTTGAGAAGTGACTGATTCCAAGGCTAGAGCAAAGAAACTGCCATGTGATCTTGGAACATCTTGATGTACCAGAATGCAAAGTAGCACTCAAAGACAAATGGGGTCCATGTGAAAAGAACACAGCAGCTGACTTGAAGGGCTTCTTATTGGTCAAATTTGAAACAATTTGAGCATCAAAAAGAATAATGGTTGTAACAGACTACAGCAGTCATAGTAAAGAAAGAATCCAAGACTCCATAATCATGTTAAAAATAATAAAGGAGACCAGGTATGGGAATACACTTGTAGTCCCGGTGACTTAGGAGGCTTGAAGCAGGAGGATTACAAGTTCAAGACCAGCCTCAGCAACTTAGTGAGATCCTGTCTCAAAATAAAAAATAAAAAAGGGCTAGAGATGGAACTTAGTGTTAGAGCACTTGCTTAGCATGAGTAAAGGCATAACTTTGACCCCCAGTACCACATACACAAAACTAAATAAATAAAGGAGGAGAGGGAACATTTCTTCAGAAAATGATTTCAACTAATAAATGTAGGACAAATGACAAAATTAGAAGTGTAATTTGCAACTATTGATATGCTTGTAAGGAAATTTATTGGGTGGTAAAACTATTGGATGAAAGCTTGTTGGGGAACAGAACATTCACACAGTTTCAAAGTTTACCCTACAGAATGTTTCTGAGGAAAGGGAAATTGTTATCTAAATTTATAATAGAGATTGGGTGGATACCATTTTAACCAAGACAGAGAAAATAATCAATAGGTCTTTAATATGTAAATGCCACAGAGGAAACAAATATGATTTTGAGATTTAGAATAAAGCAGGAATCTTATTTTGATGAGAAAGAGCTCTCTAAAGGTGTGTCATTTAAACAGAAACACAAAGGATAAAAAAATAATGGATAAAGGAAGGAGAAACAGGTATAAAACCTTTCCCAACAGAGAGAATCATATATGCAAAAGCTCTCATGTTAAAAAAGGAGCTGGCATGGTCCAGGAGATCAGTGATGCAGTGAAATGGGGAATCCAATTGTTAATGAGATAAGAGACTGGGCAGGGGCCCTATTGTGTGGGACTTGGAGACCATAATTAAGAAGTTTGGTTATTTTTTTAAGTGACATGGAAGGATTTAATCAGGAATATGGCATTTCCAGAATCATATTGAGAAGATTCTTCTGGCTGCCACCTAAGGGGGCTAGGTTGAGTAGACCAAATAATTCAGCATCTCTAGGAAAGGAGCTTTCCATTAAGCATCTAGGGTTGGGAACATAGAGGAAAAATGTAGCTAAAGTAAAGTAGAGGGCCTCGATGTCCTTTGTTTTGATAACTACCCTCTTCATAGGATCATGCCCCATTTACTACAAAACAGTCCACAAGTAGAGCAGCTGCTAGCCAAGTGAAAGCACTCCATTGCTAAGAGTGGTGTAGCAGGTTTCTGTGTCCTTCCAGCAATGCCCTGCCTGCCTGCATGATGTGAGCAGTGACTGCATGAGGCTGTGACTTGCTCTCCCCCTCTCTCTCCTCCTCTCTCTCCCC